TTAATATATATATATNTATNTAGTNTGTAGTGTGTGTGTGTGTGTGTNTGTGNGTGTGTGTGTGTGTGTGTGTGTGTGTGTGTGTGTGTGTGTGTGTGTGTGTGTGTGTGTGTGTGTGTGTGTGTAGTTATATATATGTATATATGTAGTATATATATATATATATATATATATATATATATATATATATATATATATATATGTAAACATCAATTCTCTGAAAACCGGCCACACATGCATACGAATCACGCTCGTCCATAGACACCACAGTGCCACATACACTCCCTGTGCTCTCACACATACAAATGGGCATCTCAAAGACCAGCGCTACATCGATGCGTGTATATACTTTCCACATGCGCGCGTAACTACAGTAACATAATGACGCGTGCAAAACTACACAGGGCTCCGCTTGCTGTGCGACTGACTTACTGGCAAAGCTCGGAATGAGTGACGGGAGGATGTTTACATTGAGTCGCCATTTGAACTCCTTGTCGCCTGTTTTAACTAAGTTTGTGATCATGAACTGTAGGTGATCGTCGTCCTGTGTGGTGTGTGGTATGGTACGGTATGGTATGTGTGATCGACCATCCCGAAGCAAATTGTAAGTCAATGTACCCCATCACAGATTGACATGTAGTTCCTGCCTTGATGATATAACCCATGACTTTTGGGTTTTAGGGTTTAGTCTTCATAATCTCATACAGCACTGGTTCGCGCCATTAATTCGGATATGTCGAGAGAGAGAAACCATGCCAAGAAACCCAAAGGTATATTTAACGCGTCAAATACAGATCGAAATGGTTAAAAACCTCACAAAAACAGGAAACGTCTACTTACCGGGATGTCGACTTTAAGTGCGTCGTATGCCTCTTTTCGGCTATTGATCGATTTCAAATCGAGATCCGCTAACGCCTGAATAGGAATAGCGAGGTACGTGCATGGTTACAATACTGGCCAGTAGAGGTTCTTTAAAGAATGCGTTCAAAAGCTAAAGTGACGGTTAATGTTAACGCAGCCAAAGTCAATACTGGCCAATAGAGGTTCTCTAAAGAATACGTTCAAAAGCTAAAGAGACAGTTAAGATGCAACGCAGCCAAAGTCAATACTGGCCAGTAGAGGTCCTCTAAAGAACACGTTCAAAAGCTAATGATACCGTTAAGATGTAACTCTGCCCAAGTCGATGTATAGTACCGGTTTTATGCCGTGCCTATTTAATTGACTCAAGAGCTTCACAGTTTGTAAAACTCCGTTTAATAGCCCATCGTGAAGCGTTTGTTCACGTCACCGGTAGAGATCGTTCTACTACTGTTGTTCTACCGTTGTTATTTTAAACATTGTGGTCTATCACAGTTGTAGGAAATGAGTATGTTGAACGATCATATCATAAATTAGGGTCATATACCTCAACGTTCCCACGGGATAATATACTTCTATATATATCCATTGGGACAAGAATTGACACTGAACACTGCACAGAACAGGCCCACAACCTAATCCACGTACCTTTGCGTACGACACCATCTCAGTCTGTGATCCCCTGTAGCTTACAGGAGAGATATCCACCACTGTACAGATCGCAAGAACAACAAGTTCAGCTTATGCGTACAACGAGTTCAGCTAATGCGTACACATATGGCGATAAGCCCCTGTCCTGTTGTCAAGACAACAGGGCCAGCGGCCCCCGATGTGGGACAGGGGTGGAGAAACAACCAATGATGTACAAGGAGGTTGCCCAGTTAAAAAGGTACCGAACTTCAAGATGTCAGCAGATGGACGAGGGATGTGATCATTCTATGTAAATGACAAACTGCACTATCTTTCGTCACGAGCCTGCAGGCTGCAGCCGTAAATTATCATACACAAAGCATGTGTAGTGACACAAAGCATGTGTAGTGACACAGAGCATGTGTAGTCACACAAAGCATGTGTAGTGTGTAGTGTATGTGTAGTGACACAAAGCATGTGTAGCTGTAGTGTGTAGTGTGTCATGCGGAGGGGAGTGTGTTAGGCACATGTGTGGGAGACAGTGTTGGTCACATGGCAAGCGGAATACATCTCAGACACTGAGACAGACACTTGAGTATCATACAACGACCCCAAACTCCGCGACATCACAAATACGTTAATGGGGTACGAACAGAACACTTCGAGTCGCAGTACCAGTTGCCATATGCACGTGCGGTCAGGCAATATGTGAACATAAGAGAGCGCTCGGGCAATGTGTGAACATAAGAGAGTTCTCGGGGCATGGGGCATGGGGCGTGGCTGGTATATTCGTCTGTTTCTTAGAGACTTGGAGCACAACTATCAAGCACGACCAAGGGGATCACATCCGCCTTTACAACAACACCCTAACTACGAAAGGCGTCCAACTCACCCATTCGCACCCGGCACCGAACCCTCCTGATTAAGATGTACCTTCCCAAACCCCTGCTACAATACTTTCTAAACATGTTCTTACCGAGACCTTTGATTATAATACTTTATTAACGGGTACCTACCGATGACTTTGCGCACTAATTCCTTGTGATTCAAGGCTGTCACCATCGCTGTCTTACCGCCCTGAAAGGAAAGAATGTCAAAAATAAGATATCCTGCGATCAATGGAATCGGATAGTAATGGCATGCGGTGACCTTGTGAACTCATAAAAAGCCTTAATTTATGTATATACATCAATTTATGCTTGAATATTTACATATTTGCATATTTTCATATAGGTATATATGCATATATGTATATATAATATATTAATATATATATGTGTGTGTGTATATATATATATATATGCATACGTATGTGTGTGTGTGTGTGTGTGTGTGTCGT